GTTAGTTTAATTACCATGGAGAATGCAAGGAGGAATGTAATATGATGCATATTAATGTTTTCAAAAGATTTTTGTTGTTCATTTTCAAATCAAATATCACTTTATTAAATTATGTGAATAGGCTTTCATTTCACTTTTTAATACTGTAATTAATAGAAAGTGTTGGCTGACACTTGAGGATTATCACTTAACAATGTTGAGTGACAATCTGGATAAAAGAAACATACATATTTAATATTTTTTTTTATTATGATGAATATTATTACGATATTGTTATGCTTATTATGATTAGAGCGTCCCACAACTGTCTAATTCATGTTTGTTTTTTTGGGTGATCATATCACATTTGATTATTTTAGGAGTTTTTCCAAACTAAAGTAATTGCATGATAAATATATAATTGATTACTCCGTACTTTTGTACATATTCGTTTATAATTGAATGATTTGATTTCAATTTGAGTGTCATTACTTGGAGAGTCAATTAGGCATTAGGAAGAAGTCAATATATGATATATCTTGATTCACAAGTGTAGCAAGACAAGCTCAAAAATGTACAGCTTGGAACAACAACAAGGAAAAAATGGCTTGAGGAAAAGACTTGTCATGGGTGATTGGGTGGTGAAGATACACACTTGAATTTCTTTTGAAGCTTTGAAAGTTGTTGCTAGCTACTACATATTTCATGTTACATTTCATGTTAAACTAAAGGACGGGGTCCTTTATATATTAATAAAAGTTGTAATGGATTGTTTACATTGTAGTTGATGTATTATATTATTTTATATATTGTGAATTTAGATATTCCTCTTTATGGTAGACTGTAGACACATTTGGTCTTGCTTAATATGTTTCAAGTGTTGGCTTTATTATTCCTCGATTAAAATATACCTCTGTCACTAAAAGAAAACCCGGTTATTAATTGGTCAATTCAAATAGCTCTAATTTTTTTACTTTATATATCGAACTTTCATCAAATTTGATTTTTTGCTGACTTTAGAAAACTTTTAATGTACTTTCTAAATATGTAAATTCTATTTGCTAAAAGTAATCTTAGTATTCATTGTGACAGGTTAACTTTATTGTCAGTTGAACTTCGTAAACCGAAATGAGTCTTTTTTAGGGACAATGCATAAATTAAAATAAAGAAGAATACAATGAATAATTTATTTAAATAACACAATTAAATTATTGATGGAGAGGCCTATAAATATTTTAGAGATTTAGAGCCCGTTTGGTAACATTGTTATTCGGCTTATCAGCCTTATCAGCCAACATTTTAACCAAACACGTAACTTTTGATTTCGCGCGCTAAAATATGTAATAATAAGAAAAAGTAAGGTTGGAGTTACTTTTCTGGCTGTTTCGGCTGAAGTTACTGTACAGGACCATTTTAGCTATTTTTACATATACTTTTTCATTATTTTATTAATAAAATATATTTTAAATTTAATTTTTTCATAAATCAGTAGAATCAGCCAATACAGCCACTTAAGCGAGAACTTCATAAATTTCACCTGGATCAGTTGATTCAGCCGATTTTACTGTTACCAAACGGGCACTTAATGTAATTGCCCACGTACTCATTTTTATGTTCTTGGTTTTACTCCAAAGCATGAAATTTTTATGGTGTAAAGCACCAAATATATACTCTGTTTGCACCCCGTGCAACACACGGGTAAAGATACTAGTAAATATAAAGTGGCTTTACATCATTGAATTCATAATTGAAGTTTCGCCACTTTTAGGGCCCGTTTAATTGGCAACACTAAAATTTGCTAAACCTGCTAAATTTTTTGAATTTCTAGCAGAAGTGACCGGTTGAATTGGATGAATCCGTTGAATTATTAAAAAATAATATTTAAAATTTATTTTACTAATAAAAATAAGAAAAATTACACGAAAAATAACTAAAATTGTCTTCTATAGTAACTTCAATCAATTTAGACATAAAAGTAACTTCAACCTTACCTATTTTGATAAAAAACTTGGGTGATAATGCTGATAAACTGAAAATAGGGGTTACAAATGAGCTTTTCAAAATTTCCAAAATAGGAATAAAAATAAGGTGGTTTCCATACATATGAGTATCACATTTTTGCTAACTAAAAGTAAAGTACCGTATTTCTAATTTTCTACCCATGCAGTGTTACAAATTTCGCGATCTTAATATTTTAAAAGAGTGACTGTGTATGCTTCTATTTTTAAAACGTGATTTATTTTGAAAAATTAAAAGTTAGGATTTTTTTTAATTGGAGTAAAATTTTCAGACTTGGTTTGATTAGTTTAAGCCGAGTTTCGTCTAGTCTGGTATATTACGTTTAAGTCTGATATAAATTTGGTAATCGTCTAGTGTATGTATATATCCTTATTTTCTAAATTTTTTTATTGTTAGGTAGAAATTAGTTTTTGTGTAATAACAAAAAATGACTACTACGTAGTACTTTTTAAGTTTTTACAATAACCTTAAATTTCCTAAATGGCTAAATATTGTCATCATGTCCACGTTCAAAATTAGTTTTTGAGCCATGAAGGAAATGCAAATAAGCAAAAAACAAAGCATAGAAGAAAATGGGCTAGACTCAAAATTTTAAAGAGAGAAATTAAATCAATATTGAGAGAAGGAAAAAACCAATTTTGGAAAAAAGACAGAGTGGCTTAGTCCCTGCCTAATAGGCAATTAGAGGTACTCACATGATCTCTACATAAACTATTACGTACAAAGGTGTGTCAAATGTGGACTAATTTTGTATACATTTTATTGATCGGTCTCCCGTCAATAGTTATTTTATCTCGTTGCCTTGACATGTTTTAGTATTGGGCTGACCTTCCATTTTTAACATAAAAAGCATGTGATAGAATTGAATATCCCACTTTAATTTCCTCACATTTAAAAAAAAAATCCTTAATAGTCAGTGGCGGAGCCAAACATTTAGGGTTAAAGGGGCCAGTCCTTAACAATTTTACATTGCAGGGGCCAATGTTTAAAATATCAACATACTTTCTACAGATTAAAAGTATTTTTACATGATATATACTTAAGATTTTTTTTCTTGCAGGGGCCGTGGCCACCGCCAGCCCCTCCCTGTCTCCACCCCTGTTAATAGTACGCAAATGTTTCTTCAAAACATTTATTCTCATTTCTATTAGGGGCTATTAGATGTAAATGTACATCACATTGAAACAATGGTATACAAAATTATAAATTGGAGCTCTAATTCATCTAGGGTCACAAGATTTAGTCATTTTGAGGAGATTATCAATATATTTGAAGTAAAACTATTACCATGGAGTGAAACGCATATTTTCTCAATGACTCCAAGAGGAGACTGTTACTCATAAAACATGTCTTATCTTCCATGTCTATACATGTCATGGCAATAACTAAGCTCCCAACAAAGGTAATTGGAAACGGCTACGCAGAATTGGTGATATGGGGAACGAGCTCACAAATTCACAATTACCCTCTCTTGATGGTCATTTTTCATTGTCTTAATTATACTTATGAGACACTTAGAACACCAAGCACTACATTTCCCTATGAATATATATGGAATAATGGTTACCAAAGTAAAATAATCAATGGCTTTCTCTCAAAATCGGCGAATATATAGACATATAATAGTTATAAAGTTCCCTTTCACCATAGTCTCCCAAGATTTGATTATGGGGTCTCAATTTTCCTTTGCAATAAAGTATCAGCATATCCTCAATCTATGCGGTATTCATGCCAATTTTGTACACTATTTTTACATCATTTTATGGCTGTTTTTCTTCATAACAATACCAGGATTTCTAGTGAGACAACCTTTCTTCTCATGGTGGCTTGCTTCCTTTTGCAACGCTAGCTCTGATTGGGCTCTTCACGGTTGTGCTCCCTAGTGTCATTTCATGGTATATATAAAAATCAAAAGTGCAATATTACATAGGGAGGTGGGGTAAGGTGATTTTTTTATTTTATTTTGAGTAGGACACATTTGGCAACAATCTTATATTTGGAGGATTAAGGATGTATAGACCTCACTTCATTCATGCCCCCCCCACTATTGTGCTGCATTATTTATTTTGGTTGATGAGACTTTTATGGGTTTTTTAAAAAATAGAATAAAAAGTACAATCTCATTTTCAAGTTAATGGTGATGCATACTTCTCTCTGAAATAATTACATAAATATGATTAAAATAGAGATAGTTTACAAAAATATGACTATTTACTAGAGTAGTATTGAAATCATAGTAATTCATGTTCAAGTTTTGAACTTAAGTTATCACAACACTACGTTGTAATAATGAATAGTCATATTTAGAAAAATAAGTTTTATTTTAGTAATATTCTCGTAAAAAACCATATGAACTCCTCTCGTCTCACACAACTAATTTCAAGTTTGACTTTCACGGCGTGAAATTCAACGCGTAACCGTTAATATCTATCAATATATACTTTTAAACGTATAACAAATTAATATTTTAATAATATACTATCGTATTAAAATACAATATTCAAAATTATATTTGTGCTATAATAACAAGGGTATATGATTTTGGTATAAATAATAACCTTCATAACATGAACTTAAATATGGGAGTGTCACGTTTTATTAATAAAGACTTCAGTTCAAGTTGATCAAAGATTTGATGTCGCCAAGTGTTTGCACCTTATTGGCCCTTCTTCTTTTGTACTCCGTATTTGATACTCGTATATGTATTTTAAGGGTTGACTGCCACAGAAAAAAAATCTGTAGTCGTTTGGTAATCATAGGGCACCTAATAAGGTGTACCTCTTGCATCTGAAAGTGTACCCAATGCAAACTTCTTGAATAAGGTCAAGGTAAAGCCTATGGATAAATAATCCTATAAGGTAGAACGTAAAGGTCAAACTAATATTTTCTCTTTTCTTACAGATCTCTCGACAGGTATAAATACATAACATACGAAGTGTATCTACTGTTGGATGTGTATATCTTATCTTAGCTGGAGATATAAAGGGGCTGTGGTATACAAGGAACGTTTGGAAAGGGAAAAAAGGATTGTGTACTTTCTTAAGTTGCAGAGGAAAGTTGTAGAGAGAGAGAGAGAGAATGGGAAGGGGTAGAGTTGAACTGAAGAGGATAGAAAACAAGATCAACAGACAGGTAACCTTTGCAAAGAGAAGGAATGGTCTTCTGAAAAAAGCATATGAGCTCTCTGTTCTTTGTGATGCTGAAGTTGCTCTCATCATTTTCTCCAACAGAGGAAAGCTCTATGAGTTCTGCAGTAGCTCTAGGTACATATTTATACTACCCAACATAAGAATTGGTTAGAATCTTTGTAAAGATTTCGTCTTTTTGGAAATACAAACATACCCATTTGTTGAAATTGCGTTTTCTTTGTTTATTTTTTCCATATATACACACATATATGCCTTTCATATCCTAGAGATCTGTAAAACCAAAGGTGTGTAAATACCATATTTTTGTGTGTTTCTTTTTGGGTGTGGAGTAAAAATGTTTTCCGTTTCTGTGAATGTTTTAGTGTGTATAGAACTTCGTGCTTAAATGGGTTGTTAGATCTGCAATAGGAAAGCCATGAAAAGAAGATACAAACTTTCTTTTGTTATATACGGAGTACTTATATATGTATATTGAGGCTCTCTTTAGTTTCTTCTTCTTCTTTTTATATGATTCTTCTTCAATTCTTGGATCCAAGTTTCCCCCTTTTTATTCTTCTAGTCTATTTTCATTCCAATTCATGTATATAAGGACTAGCTATATGGGTAACGACTTCTAGCTTTATAATTTTTTGATTCTTTTCTTAATCTTTTTATTAGGGTTGTTCATTTTTGCAGCTAAAATGGTCTAAAATGTGATCTACTCCATTTATTCCCAACTTTCTTCAATGACTTTTGTAAGAGAAGTACTTTCTTTTTGTAAAGTTCAGCTTTGATCTTAAAGCTGAGCTGGTCATAAGCCAAAGCTTATAATTTGCTTAAAAATTCGATTCCTCCAGCTGTAGTTTCTTTTCGCGAATGTCCAATTCCATTAGGGTTCTTCGTTTGACATACTAAGGTTTCGATTCCTATTTGGATCGCTTGTTTAGACCCAATTTCTACCATCAATTTAATTTTCTTAGCTCATGAAGAAAGTTCATATTTTTATGAGATTTAATCTTCACCTCTGCACCCCACCCCCTCCACCCACCCCTCCACCACATTTTAGCTATTATTTCAAGCATTTTCTTGAAATCTGAAAAATTAAATTACCCTTTTACAGAAACTTAATCTGAGATGAGAAAGAGGTTCTTCAAATACTTCTAAATTTGATTCTGTACTCAATTAGCTTTTTATTTTGTTGATTACTGCGCAGTTGAATGCTTAAAACCGCCATATAAAGCTAGGGTTCCTTGAATAGTCCTTTGGTCCCTTCGTCTCTATTTCACCAGATCATGATTTACTTGAGAAGTCAGTCAATCATGTCTAATCTGATCTCGTTGGCTCTTTCCTCCCTTTATTTTGGCCCACAATCAGTATATTACCCAGTAACCTGAATAGTCTTTAGGTTCTTTTAGTAAATCACCATGCTTTAGTTTAAAATTTTCTCAAACCTTTGGTTTTCTTCTTCAATTCCATGATGTCAGGTATAAATAATTTTAGTATATTCCAAGGTGCAAGTGTCGGGTTCGAATCCTAAGAAATCTCGGATTCGAGTTTCTGTAATTGCGATGAAAGGTTACTAATTAAGTTCCTTGTGGAGTCTATTCCTATGTTCTTAATTCTTTTTGTTTACCGAATAATTAAGAAGTGAAACTATGTAAAAAAGGAATAAACTTGAATACCTTTTCACTATGATTTCCATTGACTACTGATTGAATTCATATATATTAATCAATTTTATAGCATGCTAAAGACATTAGAGAGGTATCAGAAATGCAACTATGGAGCACCAGAACCCAATATATCCACAAGGGAGGCACTGCAGGTAATTAAGAGCTTAAGACAAAATTTTAAGCTATCAGATTATTATAATGCTAACTATTATTGGTGGAATTCAAATCATGTTTTACTAAAATGTGTCTTGGCAGTAAACCATCTACTTCCTCCGTCCGCTTTTCATGTTGCCAATACAAAGACCATTAATATCTTTTATTCCTTTTTTAAAAAAATTAAAAAAAAAAAGATTTTGAAAATTTAAAATGAGAGGAATTTAACAATAGTATTAAAAAATTTAATTCATAATACATTAATAAATAAAATAGAGTCCAATGTTTCATTTAAAAGAGAAACAATGTAGTATATTGATTATGGCCCGCATATAAAATACGGAGTATTAATATGCTTGTACAATTCCAACACATTTTTTTATTTACATTGCTAGACAAAAAAAGTACCTTTTTGTCCCTTATTTGATGTCTTATTAGTGTGACTATTTCTTGTTTAGTCATGGCATTATTGTCTCTAAGTGGTATGTTTATTTAGACCTCTTCAAAACGCAATTTTAATAAATACTATAGATTATTTAACCCTCTGATTTTTAAATATTAAGATATAAGCTTTTAAAACAAACCTAATTTCTTCTAGTGGATGAAATCCACAAAGTAGAAATAATAAGATTATAAAATAACGTACTTACGTAAGTTATGTTAGACAAATAACTTGATTTTTATGTTTGTTTAACTTTTGTTGGGGAAAAATATCATTCACTCTGTTGCATATCTATTTCATGCTTTGTTACCTATATGAGTAATCAGAATATGTGATACTCATTTACTTTGTATATCAAGTTATAAATCTATAGATAGAGCGGTAACAAGCAATAATTTTTTCATATACAAAAGAGTATATATAAGTTTAAAACTTATGCAGTTCTTCTTGTATGATTTTTTTCAATACTCAGATGTGGGTACACTAATCGTTTAAATGAGTAAATCCACTGTCTATTGTACCATATAGAGAGCATGTTTTCAATACCGCATCTTTTTTGTTTTTGTTTATATGTTTTGTATCATATAAACTCCATTTTCATATATACTACGAGTACTACATAATGTTATGGGTAATTTGAGCTTGCACCTCATTTTATTGGTGAAATTAGATTTTGCTTCTCATTTTTTTTAAAGAAATAGGCAAAAAAGGAGTGGGTTTGAAGTGGATTGACAAGATTCAGCATTTCCATCACAATCCTGTATGAAAAGACAAAAATGCACCTCGATCAGAAATATGTTGAAGGTCAACAAAATTGATGATGGAGGGTCATTTTTGTCTTTTCTTTCGGGTGCAAATACAAAGTTTTTAAAAAATGGGTGCAAAGTCTAATTTAGATAATAAAATGGAATGTAAACTCAAATTACCCCATTATTTTGTTTCATTTGTAACTTAAGGAAATTTATAAAAAGTATCATAAACATTGAAAAAAACAATCCGACCTCAATGTAAGCATTAGATGCTTTATGCTTATGATACGTTTTCCTCGGTAGTTTATAATTTTCCGTTTCTCTACTGTACAATTACTGATTTTAAATACCGGCAACACACTTTTTTTATTTAGAAAGTAAAATGTTTATGTTAAGGTATGTTTATTGGAGTTTACATACTAAGGATCATACAGTAGCAATTAGGTTTGACTCATGAAACTTTCATCTTTTTATATAATTATGAAATCTGACATGCTTATATAAAGGAAGGTATTGATTTCAAAAAAAGGTATAAAATGTATAGGTGTGAAGAATTGATAAACTCTTCATCCTCTGACCTTCTCAACCCTTGGTGCCATTATTTATTGCTTTTATTATTTATTGCCTTAAGTCTGTCATAATATGTGTTAATGGTCATAATATGTGTTAATGGTCAAATAATGGCAATAAATAATGCCATTATTTATTGCTCTTAAATCAAAAGAGTCATTGATTTGATAACTAGCGAAAATCTAAGAGGTCGTTTGGAGTGGTCGTTTCGAACACTTATCAGCCAATTTTTTGTCAAACACATAATTTTTGAATTGTGTAATAAGCAGAAAAAGTTACTTTTCTTGCTGTACTGGCTGAAATGACTGTAGATGACTATTTTAGTTATTTTTACATATATTTTTTTCTTTATTTTATTAAAAAATATACTTTAAAAATATTTTTTTCTAAAATCAGCTGAATCAACTAATGCAACCACTTTAGCCAGAACTTCATAAATTTTAGCCGATTTTCGTGCTACCAAACGGGTTGTAGATGTCATGCTTGACAATAATAGTTGCCGCAGCCAGTTTTCAAAGGAATACTAAATTTTGGTTATAAAAAATTATCCTCTAACATATATAGTACTTTTTTTTGAAAGGAACATATATACGTAGATAACATATAGTCCTTCACTTCCATTAGAAAAGACTTATATTTCGAAAGATTATTTTATTGCTAAAAAGAGTTATGTTTGGTAATGATTTTTCAACAAGTTTGCCAAATTCTATTCTATATACAAACATACATATATACTCCCTATACAGTATACGGGAGAGTTCAAATAGAATGAGTCTTCATGTATACTGAGTAATAAGAATTAATCGCAGTCGTCCAACCTGTCAATCTGATGCACAGTAATCATTATCTAATGCACTTTTGGATAAACCTTATTTGATTCACTTTTCGAAAAACGCATTCGAAAAGTGCAGTAGATAAGTTTTATTGTGCATCGGATTAACTCTTTAGGTGATTGAGATTAATTATTATTTGACACATTAAGACCTTTTTTTATTTGATCTAAATTACAATGAGGTGAGCAAGTTTGTGTTTTTAGGAGGATTACAACTAGGTAGGAAAATCTAAATTACAGGGTACAAGATAACGTGCTCACTAAAGAGAACATTGATGTGTTGCATGTATTTTTGGTGTTTGAATTTGCCACAATACTTTGCTTTCGTAGAGGTGAACACCAAGGGTTAGGGAAAATTGGTTTATGTACATGTACATAAAAATTCAACTTTGCATCACAAATTTGTTAATTAGTATCCCATATTTTTTCTGGTTATAGACCACCATTAAGTGTCAGGAGAAAAATTAAATTTCGGTATAAATAATGGGAATATTATTGTTAAAATGTTGTATCCCACCCGTGAGTCCCTTTCGAGTCAGGCGCGCCTGACTGGAAGGCCCGTGCGGCCTTCCCCTTTTGGGTGCCTTCCCGGTGTAATTTTTTCATGATTTTTTTAGCATGTCCCTCATCAAGTCTAGTTTATCCAAACCAAATTTCAGCTCAAAATGCGACCGGGAAGGCAGTCAAATAAATTCTTGAAACATACTGCACTTTAAATATGCGCAGAATGCCCAATATGTTTCAAGAATTTATTTGACTGCCTTTATGGTCGAATTTTGAACTGAAATTTGGTATGGATAAACTAGACTTGATGAGAAACATGCTAAAAAAATTTCATCAAAAAATTCCACTGGGAAGGCACCCAAAAGTGAAAGGCCGCTTGGGCCTTCCGGTCAGGCACGCCTGACTCGAACAGCCCTCTCCCGCCCGTTATATATGAAATAACAATATACTCTCTCCTTATTTGAAAGTTCTCTACATTAGGTATTGACACAAGATTTAAGAGGAGAACAGTAGATGTAATGAATGATGTAGAAAAAGTAGAAGAGAAGGTCAAAAAGTAGAAAAGAGAAAGATAAAAAGTTGAAAAAGTAAGGGTATTTGAGTATTTTTAAAGGAAAAAACTTACCACAAAGTGAAAGTGTAGAAAACTCTTAAATACATTCAAATAGGAAACTGTATAAAACTTTTAAATATGGAGGGAATAAAATATAGGAAAACGGTTCAAATTAGCCCCTATACTATTTCTAAACTGTCACTTAAGTCTCTGTACTAAAAAAAGTATCATATAAGTACGCTTACTTTACAAAATGGATCAATTTGGCCATTTAATCAGCTTTTGACCTGTAATAGCAAGTTTTCTAAACAATTGTTAAAATTTGAAGAAATATATACTAAAATTGTGAAAATTATCAGAATATCAAAGCCAATATTTTCTAATTTTAAAAAATATTAGTATATCCGACATCTATTTAAAAGGTTTTTAAATTTTTTATTTTATTTATTTTCATATTATTTTTTAGTTTTATGATTTTTTTATTTTTATTACTTTAATGTTTTTAAAATTTTATCTATTTTTATATTAATACTATTTTTTATATTATTATTAGATTATTTATTCAAATTTATATGAATTTTTGTAACATATATCAATATTCCTAATTTAATTTTAAAAATAACAACCTGTTATAGCAGGTCAAAGGGTTGGTTGATTGTATTACAAAAGTACCCGTACTTATATGATACTTTTTTTTAGTGCAAAGGCTTAAGTGATGGATTGAAAATAACAAGGCTTATTTGACCATTTTTCCTAAATATAATATTTCACGTTGTTCATATTAGGTAAAAATAATTAACTTTAGATCAAAGATTGAACTCTAAAATCTTACTAGTGTGTGTTAAATTGTTAACTCATATTTAACCAGTGAATACAAAGAATTTTAGAAAATTTATCAATTTAAAATTTGAAAGATAGCTTGACTATAAATCATAAGACATATCATATTTCCAGTGGCATTTATCAATAATTTTCATCTTTCATATCCTTGATTGAAAGTTAATCTATCTTTGAATTACTAGATTGATTAAATCAAAAGATTTGAGTATGCATGCATAAACGTGACATGTGTGAGTCTATATATTCTCCTTTTGTTGTAGGAGATAAGTAGTCAACAGGAATATCTAAAACTGAAAGCAAGATATGAAGCATTACAGAGATCACAAAGGTATATCATCAACTCATTACTCATCAACTTCCATTTTCAGTGCCAAACATCCCCTAACAGTGTTTGGGTTGTTCAAAGAAATCACTTTTTGTGCATGGGTGATGATATGATAGGAACCTTTTAGGTGAAGATCTTGGACCTTTAAACAGCAAGGATCTTGAATCTCTTGAAAGGCAGCTTGATATGTCATTGAAGCAGATCAGATCAACAAGGGTATTTTTGTCACACAACCCTAATCTTTAAACTTCTTTTTTTATGAACCCTAAAAGTCCCAAGTTAGATCCAATATAATGGATGTAATGTGCTTATTGATGATGGAATCCATGCATTTCCAGACTCAATTAATGTTGGATCAGCTAATGGAACTTCAGAGAAAGGTACACACCCTGAAAACTCCTCCTCAAAGAAGTTTTCATCTTTTCTCATGGAGTTAATTAAACTGTAGCTAAATACTGTTTCTACAGGAGCATGAACTAAATGAAGCAAACAAGACTTTGAAACACAGGGTTTGTCTGCTCAATACTCTTCTCTTTTTTCATTTTCCACCCTAAGTTACACTTCCATTTCTTTGCTCTGTCTCTCTTTTGTTAAGAAGTTATTTGTCAAACATTTGGCTACTAATAACCCAAAAAAATTACTTGATGAAGATACATATACATATATATGCCCACGTTTTTTAACTCCAGGGGGTCTGGGGGAGAGGGATTGGGGGGTCTGGAGTAATCGGGGCTGAAACTCACTCCATTAAGTTTCAAACCCTTATGTGCCTAGCGGGTTTTGAACTAGAGACCTCCCACTAGGCGTCTAGGCACGATAACCTTACAACCAGTTGAGCTGGAATGTTTAGTTACATATATATGCCCACGAAAAGGCATATAAAAAGGTAATAAAGTGGCGTAGCAAAGCGTATATACCGAACTTATATAACTGAGTCGGTATAAATAATTTTTCAAGATAAATTTTACACGATTGTTTTACATTAGTATGACAAGTTTTTTATTTTTTTAATTTGGAGTGCGTCGAGGACATGCCCTTAGCCCCCCACCTATGACCATAATTATTTTCATCTCTATAACTGTGGCATGTTATTTGTTTTAATGGTTAGTCACTCTGGTCTGAATGTCTGATTAGCCCAATCTAATTAAATCTAATGTGAGATTGAAAACAGTTCAATTTAAAACATGATTAATGGCCCAAGAATATAGGGAGTAAATTTCTTGAAGAAGAGAGATATCGCTGCTAATAATTGAACACATATATACATATAATTTTACAGTTGATGGAAGATGCCCACCATTTAACTCTGGACTGGAACCCAAACGCACAAGATGTAGAGTATGGAAGGCAAACAATTCAGCCCGACGGTTCTCACTCCTTTTATCATCACATGGATTGTGAACCCACTTTACAGATTGGGTAATTAATTCATTCAACAAGTTTAAGCTCCATTCTTTTATTTGCATTATTGTGCTATAGTAAAACCCGGTCTGGTGATAGATATCGTACTCCATGCATCCGCCCTACAATTAAATTTACAGTTTAACATTTAGTTAAACTTTGTCAACTTTGACCCTTAGTCATCCAAAAATCGTATTACTTTATAATATCAAAATAATTCTGAATTAATATATAGTATTGAAATATTAGTTTATTTAAAGTTCTATAAGTGTATACTTCGTATTTTTATATTCAAATGTCAATGTTGGACGCCGTAAAAGGTCAACTATATATACTTCTATGAACTTAATCCAAGGATGTAGGTAGTATAAAAACATTTACAAAGTCAAAAGTACGAATATGTTGTATTATTATACGACTAATTTTGTCCTATGATAAAAATCAAGTGATAAAAATGTTCCAAAACTCGAGTGAATAAGTCATATTTTAGGAAGACAATATTATTTGAAGGAATATACTAGGTTTTACTTTTGTTAATGAATTTTTTGCTGACCGTATATACTGTACACATTCATGCATTCAATTCATCCATGTCTTGATAATGGGTAAGCAAATAAAGTGGAATATTACGTAAACACATTCACATTAAACACAGCTAGCTAACTTCAATAAAAAAGTAAAGTTTCATTTCTTATAAGTATATGTGTAATATATTGTGTGTAATTTTCAGGTATCAGACAGATAGTCATATAACATTAGGAGGTCCAAGTGTGAATAACTTCATTCCTGAATGGTACCCATGAAATGGGGAGACAGGCTGAGATTGTAATGCTTGATGAATAAGCCTGATGATGCTTTTATTTCTTCCCATAAGATCCTACATATGTGATCCCTTCTTATTTTGTTTTTAAATTTTTTTCACTTTTTGTTTTGTTTAAGCTTTTGTTGTTTAGTGATAAAGACTTCAAAAATGCTTTGATTTAGTACTATGATGATGATGGCAAGATAGTCATTTAACATTAACTCTGTGTTTACGTACCATGATGATGACTTACCTTAATAATTTTATTATTCTCTTGAGCTAGATGCTCTACTTATCTGCTTAATATTTACCTTTTTCATCCCGTAATAATTCTCATAATAATGCAGCATATATTTGCATTTGACATTGAAATATGAAATTAAGAAACTACTACGTATTAATTATTTTACAATTGTAATATACAAAATTCAAAAAGTAATTTTTGTGAACAAAAACTAAAAAGGTAAACTTATTGAAAAAAGAATAAAGGGAAGAAGTATGAAACCAATTTAAGATCTTCTAAGAGCATCTTCATTCATGATTTTAAAATAAATGGTTTTTCTATGACACATCATTGACACATCATATTTATTAAATAAATTTTAAATAATCTCAAATCTTAAAACTCTCCATCAACCATGATAAACAAATAATTTAGTTTTTCTAGACCATGCATTAAATGAAATTTAACTACAACCTAAAATAATCCGGGATTCAAATCTTGATACCGGGTTATCTTTTTCAATAATCTCTCTAAATAATCTCTCACTCACAATGATAATCTTTAAAATAATCTTACACATCATCCAATTAAACTCTAAATAATCTCAACAATGTGGATGCCCTAAAAAAATTGAAACCAATTTAAGAAAGTGTTTTGATTTTTAAGACAATTATAAAAGGAAAGTTTATACAGTGTAATAAAGAGAGTATAACCTTTTCTTAATCAATCAATTGAAAATGAATTGGGGGCAGACGTACTCATGAGGCCCACTCTAGAGCTAGTCTAGACTAGAATTAGACACATTTGCCAAATGAATTTTGTAATAATAAAATGATGATAATAATAATAATAATTTATTAACAAAAATAATACTCCGTAATAGTACTAATAATCTAAAAATGCCAAATGATTTTTAAAATGTAATAATAATATTTGTGTTGCTCTTTCAGGGATTGTGGCTTTTATATCTAATGAAAGGTTAATAGCTAATGACAGTTGTTGTCAGTGTTGTCATTTGTCAGTTTAATATAATGATTATGATCCTTATAATATTTATGTAACCGCTTTTCAATATAAAAAGGGAAATTCTATTTACAGCCCGTGTTTTGCTAAATACATACCCGCAGTTTCGGTTTTTTCATAATTCCATTTATACCCTTTTAATTTAATGCCGTTCGTAAACTTTAATTTGCAAAAAGAGGGACGAAAAATGGGCTAATAGTTTTATACCGTAATCCTTTTTTAGAGCATCTTCAATGCAATAATGTGCACGGTGCACATGTGACACGAGAGATAGCTACATAAATATTAATAAATAAATCATCTCTCTCCTTATTTGAGTGATCTTATACAGTTTTGGTATGTTTTTCCCTGCAATGTCAACTGCAATGTCAAATCTAGACGGTCTCCTTGACATTGTGGAAAAATACTTACCAAAATTGTATAAAACCATTCTAATAAGGAGAGAAAAAAATCATTTACTAATATTTATGTGGTTATCTCTTATGCCACATGTGCACCGTGGACATTGTAGCATTGAAGATGCTCTTAGATGTTGGGCTCGACTTTGACGCTTGAGCTTAACATTGAAGAGCTTAACTTTGACCCAAGGTTCAACCAGATAACCCCAACCGTTTATTAAGTGGAACACTTTAATTTGTCACTTCTCTTTGTCACTTCTCGAATGGATCAATCAATACGAGCAAGTTTTTTCCCCAAAACCCATTTTGGACAGTTTTTCCATCATGAGTAGGGATGGCAACGGGTCGGATCGGGGACGGGTACACATAAAGTCGAAACCGTCCCGCTGGATAAATGTTTGCTTCGAAACCGCCCCATTATCCATTCGGATAATTTTTATTTGAACCATGTCCGTTCCAACGGGGAGTCGGTTTATCCACGGGTAACCGTTTGCCCAAATGATACCAAACAACCAATTTCTAATTCTACTTGTTAATGTAAACATCCTTCGTAATAAATTATAAATTATATATTCAAAGCACCATAAAACATACAAAAGTAAATATTCAAGCAATCAAGCAATTTAGTCCTAAATTAGTTTGAGGCCTAAAAAATTAGTAATCCCAAAAAACAGTTTTAGAACTAAATTCATCACGCCATCAAATAAACTCTATGCTACGGATGTTAGTGTTTTTGAAGTGGACCTTGGGTGTATTTAATAATGTTATACTTATTAGATTTAGTGTGCACAATTTAACATACACACTTATTATTCTTATATATATATAGAGTTATATTTATTAATAATGTTACGGATGGGTAACGGTGCGGGTACCCGCACCATTAGTGAACAGGGCGGTTTCGGGGTGGATAACGGGTCGGATTAATATAGAACTATAACCTCACCATTATCTATTTTAAAAAATCGGGCATTTCCCGCCCCGTACCCGTTCCCCGGTCAAACCGGTTTTCCCCCTTTTGACCAAATCGGTTCAGTGCGGGTATCCAACGGGTCCTAGGAATTCCTATGGTTTATTCCGGCGACGTGGTGTGGTTATTAAGAAAAATAGAATTATGTGATTGATAATGAGTTGATAAAATGGGGGTAAAGTAAAAAATGAATTAGAGTCACACAAATATTATCAAATATGGTATGCGACAATAATATGAAGGGAGTAATATTTATATTTTAATGAATTCATACGTCATATTAAAAGTATCATTTGCTAAAATTTGATCATTATTGATAAAGAAAATTAATACTACCTCCGTTCTCTTTTAATTGTAACATTGGATTTTTTGCACTATTCACATATTCTACTTTGACTACTTTTTATTTATTAATGTATTATAAAATAAATTTGTAAAAAATATTGTTAAATTCTTCTCATTCTAAATTTTCAAAATATGATTTTTTTAAATTTTTTACTAATAAAGAATGAAAGATATTGATGGTCAAACTTATGCGTTGACAAACGTAAAATGTTGACTGTTACAATTAAAAGAGAACGAAGGAAGTATGCCAAATTTTATGGGAATTTGGAGCAATATTCAAAAAAAAAAATCACACATTACTTCGAATATATCGACGCCACGCGCTCTGGTATCGTGAAACTTATGAACTCCCCATTTGGGTGGATATAATACCAATAGACCACACGTCACATGGCCCCACAATTGTAAGAATAAGTAGCGCGTGACACTCACTCTCCAATAAAAAGGTGGCAATGTGCCAAGCACTCCAATTCATCTTTATAGGACGTAGTACACTTCTCAATGAAGCAACGAGAACTCCAGTATACATCTAATTTATCATTATATACGCAATACTACGTTACTTACTTATAAGCTTCGAAAATAGAAATACGTAATTTGAGTTTATACCTATTTTATTGTCCAAATTAGATTTTGCAATTCATTTTTCAAAAAAATTTGTATTTGTATTCACAACCATATGAAAAGACAAAAGTGTCATTCGATTAGAAATATGTTGAAGGCTACAAAATCATAATGAAGGAATATTTTTGTCTTTCTTACGAGAATGAAATGCATATACATTTTTTTTAAAATTCGGGATGCAAGGTCTAATTTAAACATTAAAATGAGGTGCAAATTCAAATTATCCAAATAAGAATTGATAATTTGCTTCTTGGACCAAACTATTTACTCCTTTTGTCACAAATTATGTTATCTTTTCCTTCAGTTACGGTGCCAAAATTATATTATGAGAAATTGAGAATAAATAAATCTGACAAACTGTACTCAATGTCCCAATGTTTAATTAAGATCACGTAAAAACTCACAATACAACAAATTCAGACGTACCAGATATAACTTGACGTGCATACATGTCTATAAATGTTTGTACTTCCACTCTTATATGAAGCATTGAAACCCCAAGTTCCCAATAAAACCGTTCAAGTTTCATTAATGTCGAATAATATGCTACCATAGAATTGCTTGGTGTCCAACAAAACAGTTCAAGTTTCATTAATGTCGAATAATATACTCCCATAGAATTGCTTGTTGAATCAGATGATTCTATTGAAATTATAAAGTTTTGTTCCTCTGATTGAAGTGACTGGATTCACTGCTTCTACTGATTTATGAAAAAAAAAATATTTAAAATATTTTTATTAATAAAATAAAGAAAAAATATTTATGAAAAATAGTTAAAATGATCATTTACAGTAACTTCGGCCATTACAGTAAGAAACGTAACTACAACTTTACTTTTTCTTATTATTACATAGCTCAACGCACAAAATCAAATGTTACATGTTTGTTGAAAAAGTTGGCTTATAAAATTTTGTTCTGTCTTTCCATTTTGCCAGTTCCACTAAGATTGTCACATACTATATTTACTAAAATTTGTGTGGCTCTAATTCATTTTTACCTTATTCTTTCTATACCAATTCAATATCAACCATATAAATCTATTTTTCTTAATAATCGTACCATCTTCTCATGTCTCTATATATGTTAGTGCAATGTTGGTAGTACATTATATACTAGGGTTTGAGTTAAAATAGAGAAATGAATGTACTAACGTTAGAGATCTAGAAACATGTTATATACTCTCTTTGTTCCACTAAGATTTGTCTCATCTCTGTGTTTTTGTAAGTCCTACTAAGATTGTTTCATACCAAATTTGATGATTTTGGTTGTAAATCATCTTACTTTATTCTCATTTTATCAATTCAATATCGATCACATAAATTCATTTTTCTTGATAACCGTTCTTTAAGCTAAATTTAGTAATACATAAACAATATAAAAGAATTAAGGAAATTGTTGGGTCACGTGCAAGGAGCTAAATAAACTAATTAATAGTATTGATTTCAATTGATTCTGTATTCGAGAGTTTATGCCCCTTCTATTTGCCCCTATTTAATGATATTGCAACTATATACCGCCAAAGCTCCCATACTGATATGCTATTCTTTTGTTGGGAGTGGTAACCTCCACGCGAACAAGGGATTAGTTGAACTGATCAACCTTATCTCCTACTTGCCAGTTCAACCGCCTTTCTCATCCATATCCTTACTGTTGGCTTCAATCTTATCAACTTAATACGTGGTATTTGCGTAGCAAAACATAAAC